ATAAATGTTGTAAGTGCGAAACGCTGTAAGCCAAGAATGGCCTGTATAAGTAAAATGCATGTGAAAACCTATAATGAATGTGAAATCTTTTTGCAGTAGCAGACCCTTCAAGAAAGAAAAAAGCTAACGGGGCAGTCAGGCACAATACTGTGAGACTCACCAGTAAAAAACCCGAGACGACTAAGTGAGGGCCACACTCCTGGTCAAAGCCGGGCTCCCGGGCGAGGGGCCGCGCGGAGTTTCCCAGGACACCGGGGGAAGTGGGACAAACGCGGCGCTCCTTGCGGGCTCGCCGGCTCGGTCTGTGCCCCGCTGTGTGCGGAGGGAGAGGCCCTGGCCGGCAGGAGCCGCGGTCTCGCTCTCGGGCCCGCCGGGGCCGCGCTGAAGCCCCCGGGGAGCAGCTGCATCCCAGCGCCGAGGCGAGGCGAGGCGAGGCGGGTCTGCGCAGAGGGGCGCGGGGCGGTGGCGGGACCCGCGCTCGTCCCGAGCGGCAGCTGAAGCCCCGCGGGCGAAGCCGGCGCGGCCCTGTTGTGGCCGAGGGGCGGGGCTGGGGGGGGCGCGGCTCGGGGCAAGGTGTGCAGGTGAGCGCCGCCTCGGCCTCGGCCTCGGCCTCGGCGTGCTGCAGCGCAGCCGGGCGAGGCGGAGTGCTCATCGCGGTGAAACGTAACAGAGTCGGGGGGGGATGATCTCAGCGATGGCCCCAAGTTGTTTGCATGTTATACGTTTGATCTAACTAACTTTAAGGATTCAATTAACTTTAATTGAAGAGTAACTTTGTTATGCTGTTGCTAAGATGTGCTGGTGACGATGGCTGTGTTAATCGCTGGCACAACTCGGCAGTTCAGATATACCAGGGACATAAACTTCTAACAGGAAAAGCTTTGCACAAAACCTAAACAATATTACATGTGTACAGCACGTGGAAAGGGATTGTAGGACCCTTGAGGGGTGGGTTTCTACCATCATAACCTAACTTACTAATGATGCCTTTTTCGTTTTCTCTCTTCTTTGAAAGAGAGCTGGAAATTCAAGTGAGACAGTCAAATGTAACATTGCTACTTGGTATAATGCTTTACCTAATAAAGTAAAACCAAACTAGTACTGTATATGGGTGTCTGTGTTGGTAGAAATGTAAAATTTAAAGTTAACAACTCGTTTCTTCCTAAGGTCCAAGTAACTGTTCACATGTGGGATGGGAAAATGATAGCTCTCCCGAATGACCTCGAAACAAAACGTCACAGTTGCAGCACATGATAAAGACCATGTGAGCTGTCTTCTGAGGAAGAGCTTTTAGTTTGCAGGACCTTATAACTTTACTAGATTCTAAGGCTCTCACTAAGAGCCAGAACCTGTCCTAATAAGAGATTTCTCAATTTGGAAATGAGTTACATTGTGATGTGGTTATAAAAAGAAGCCTGCCTTCATCTGGAATTGCTTAGAAAATCATTAGTAGGGAGGTGCCAATAGTGGCTTTAAAAAAAAATAGAAAAGGGAGGGCAGTTTGTGACCACTGACAGTATCCAGGTGAATACATAGTAGAGAAATAAAATCTTGATGAAATGGCTTTCAGTGCGGCATCTCTCTGAATCACTATTGAAATGCCACTATTGAAAATGGCGTAGTGGTTGGTGCATCCCCCACTAAATAGTTTTCGGTATTGTTTCAGAAGTTGAGGTTTGAATTAATGTCAGGGTGTCATACTTATGCGACCCTACAAGGCTGAATATAGGACAGCATTGTTATCAGTTGTTGTGGTTTTCAGAACTGTAGCAACTGCCTCATTTTCTGTTGTGCTGTATCTTAGGTATCCCAGCTCTGTGCTGCTGAAAAGCTGGGAATATGAACTGATTTGCTGTTTGGTTCACAGTTATTCATTTACTGACAGCAAAAGATGGGAGCTAGTAAGCTAAAAGCTGTAGAAACAAAGTGGCTGTGCAAATGCTCAGTTTAGAGAAGTATTGGATATCAGAATCCTATCTCAAAAATTAAGGCAGAGGGAAGGAAAAAAAGAAACTAGCAGCAACAACTTCAGGCTGTTAGAGGTAGGAGAGATCTGCGTGACTTGGAAAACTTGGAACTCTACTCGTCAAACTGTGTAACATTCAGAATTTGTTTTGTGAAAGTGGCTCCCAGAATTAGCATCTGGAGGCACTCGGGCATCTTTGAGATGCTCTGGACTCTGGAAGACTTTCTTCCATGGCATAAGTGTAGGTTATGCTAGGTTTCCAAACATACTGCAAAGCTGTCCTTTATTTTTGTGGGGCTGGATATCTGAATTGAAGACAAATCAGGATTTTTTCAAATGGAAATACTGGGTGTAACTGTTCTTTAAAAGTGCATTTGAAACCCATAATGCTAGCTAAAGTTATGTGGTTTGATCTGGTCATAAAATTGTTTGCTACAGGAGTGGGTCAGAACCTTGATTTTTAACTAGAGTTGCAGTAAGTACAGTATAAACACTTAAATTCTCACTGTAGCTGAATGTCTTTCAAGAAGACACTTGTACAGAAAATGATTCAGGAGGTTAGATGGTAATTGAGGCTGTTAGGAGAAGCTGAGGTTATAATGTTGATGTTTCGCATTACCAGTGAATGAGCATGTATTCATTCTGCAGGTAGAAGCAGTACTTGAGAAAGTTACAGAAACAATGTTCGCAAATTGAAGGGTAGTTTTCTATTTGAAGACTACTGGTTTGTTTGTCCTTTTAAGCATTTCAGCTCTCAGTCTTGATGGTACTCTCTTTCTTGCAGGTGACTTTGCAGTTATTTATACAGATGGCTGCTGCTCAAGTAATGGTTGTAAAAAGGCATGTGCAGGAATAGGTGTCTACTGAGGGCCAAACCAGTCCTCATAAGCGTTTTGAGATGTGACTTAAATCTCTGTAAACAAATTATTTCCTGATGCTGGTCTTGAACGTGACTTCTAATACATTCAGGCCTGCTTGCTAAGGGAATGCTCAGTCAGATTATCTCGCCGAAATCAAACAAGTAGCGAACCAAAAAGAGACAAATCAGATGTATAACTGAAAGAGTTAATCTCTTCTGGGGAGAGTAGAAATAACGAAATAAGGTAGGAATTTGAACAAAATTATAACAAGACTCAACCTGGACAAATGCAAGGACATATCTTAAGGGAAATTGCATTCAGGCTTTTCTGCAAGTGTTTTCACAGTTGAGCAAAAGTGTGTTAAAGCTATTGTTGCTTTCAGTGTAGATTGTGCTTCCCTATGGTAACAGGACCAAACATGCCCAGATATCACGTTGCAGTTCTTCTGCTTCATAAAAGTAAGGATTGAAGTAGATGGAAACTAAACTAAAAGTATTTTGTCTCACTTCTGTCAAGAACGCAATATCTATACATGCATTTCTGTGTTGCATGCATTAATCTATTTCATATTGCTTTCAGACAGAAACACTAGTGAAAGGCTGTCTCATGACAGACTAACCAAAGAGCTGAAATATATGTACATTGTAGACTTTTCTAAAACTGTTATCACTGTGGAAAATAACTGAAGGTTCTGGCTCTGCCCAACTTCATTGACTGTTAAAGTCCACAGTGTAGAAATAGAGCTTTGCTTCTACCTCTGAGATCTTCTAGCCCAGGAATGACTGAGATATTGCCCATGGGCCAGGTCTGGCCTGTGGAGTAGTGCTGTCTGACTTGTGGGGTTCCTTCCTGGTCTGGAAATGTGGTGATGGGGAATTGATGGCAGAGTTAATAGCCACAGCTCCCAGAGCCACAGGAATTAAGATTGCTGCCAAATTTCTGAGCCCATTTATCTCTCATTGGGCTAAATGGCTCCACACACCATACTGAGCCTGTGGACTGACCCTGTGTCACTTACCCAGCCTGCAGGGCTAGGTGAGTTGGGCATCACTCCTCTAGCATATGGTGAGTTTAGTCTCGATATAGTTCAAGGAAAAAGCTGGCATTTCTGTTAATAGTGTCTGCATAGGAGTTGGCAGAGACAGTTGCTGTAGTTTGACGCTCACATAGACTAGAACACTGTTGAGATTTACTGAACTTAGTTCTATTTCAGGAACAACATTCAGAAGTAGAAGGGAATTCAGAGAAGTGATGGCAAGATTTACAGGTAGTGGAAACTTGGGACTCTTTGGAGTTTATGTGGGAGACAATAAGGGATGTGATGGAAGTATACAGAACATTTAGTGTACTGAAGGTGATGCAAATACTTCTAATAAGAAAAAATAAACTTTTAATTACACTGAAAGGCAACTCTCAAAACTGAAGTGAAGCTTTTTTAGCATAAGGCACAGTTTACCTTGGGGAGAAGAATATATCAAGCCAAGGATTTAGGATTCAAAAACGCATTAGACACAGGTTTATCATCATGCTCACTAAAGATAAATAGGTAGGGTATGTTTAGTTTCATGCTTCAGAAGCTAAGCTAGTCTTTACTTGGGAGGGCTTAAGTAGTAACTTTCTCTGGTAGTACAATGGACTATGCCAGCTGCACATTGGGACAGAAGGTAGCTTGTTAGGTACCATGGGCTTATTGCTATATTTGCAATAAATAATATGCTTGGAGGGTGGAGTTAAAAGGAGAAAGCCTAGCTCAAGTCACTTGCATGCTGGTTAGGGGGAAGAACAGACACCCACTGCGCAGTGGAAGCTTCTGATTTGATTGGTACCTATCAGAGCCTTTCTTGAGGAAGGTCAGATGTTAGAGGATTGTTTGGTGGCCTTTTTTTGCTATCAGCAACTTTCCTGTTGCTAAGTTACTTTTCATTTGGCAGTTTTCACCTTTTTTTCCTCTCGCCTGATATGGGAATCAGTTGTGCTACAAGCCTATGAGCAATGCAATAACACCTGGTTGTTCCATGATTGTTTGCTATTGTGTTTCTTTTACAGTCCTCTTAGTATTTTTAGTTTGTTAATGCCAGGGAACATCAACTGGGTAGGCCACTGATAGTAGTGTGGCAATCTATACATGCCTGTTTCAACACTGAAGACACTGTAGTTGTCCTCCTTCTATGTACTTAATGTTCACATTGTTATTCTGAATTGGGATTGCATTGAAGGAGTTTCCTTAGGCAGCCTGCAAAGCAGTTGAGCAAGCAGAGTCAAAACATCAAGAAACTGGTTATTTATATTGACAGCAAGTGCACTATTATTGGTAAGTTAATAACTTTGACTCTGCTGTTAATGAAATTCATAAGAGCACATAACTTCACTTGGTCAGCCTTCAATAACTGGGTCTGGAGGAGGAGGGTAGAGAACAGAAAATGGGTAGCTCATTGTAGTTTCCAGTTACTGTATGGGGAAGAAACTGAGCATGCACTGTACAGCGGTCAAAATGTATGCACTGTCTGTATCAAACTCTGGATTAGGCATTGTATGTAGTTGGGCAATTGAATGAAATGAGTGAAAGAAATAGTTAAAATATCAGCACTGAAGATCTCTAGAGGAAGCTTTTGAGAAGCATAGGATGCAGAATACAGCAGTACGGTACCATTAATTAGCATACAAAATGGCATAGGAATGTAGGCCTTGGTGCTGTATCTGCAAAATGACTGTCAGAATTATTTAAGGGACGGGGGGAGAGGGGTTGACCTGCTGCACAAAGAACCTGGAATATTTCAAGGCTTTTTGCTTTTCTTTAAGAATTTAAAGTCTGGATTTTCCTGGTTTAAGGTAGGTCTGTGGGGAAAAGCAAGTTCTTCACCTTCATCTAATGGGTTAGTATACTGAATGTTTTGGCCTTCTATAAATAATACATGGTGGGTGCTTGCAGGCATTAAAAAACAAAACAAAAAAGCCCTGCTGCTTTTCTTTAAACTCGGTGCACCCCCATGCTGAGTCTAGCACATGCCCAGAAAAGGCAGCTCCTTAGTTGGATCCAGTTCATGTAAAGTCTGTATAGATAGGGCACTTTAGTGGAGCTTTTTTGGCAAAAAAAAAAGCCAAAATAATCTAACAGCTGATTTAATCAGCTATTGGATAAAAGAGCCAAATACCCTGTTGAAGTGCCTGATCTATACTTTGACTGAGCTTTGCCACCTCTGTAACATGTTGTTTCTTCCGATGAAGCACATTTTTTTTAACGTCGCAAGCAACCAACGTGATTAGTAAGCTGTCAGTGAGAATAAATTCTCCTTTCTGCCATTCCCTCAGTCTCTTATGACCTTACAGTCACTATATAGCAGGGGTGTGCAAAATATGGCCAGCGGGCCAGATTCGGCCCACCAGGCGATTCCATCCAGCCTGCGGGCCCCCTTCATAAGCCCTGGGTCTGAGCTGCCCCTCTGCAAGCCAGGCACCCCCTACCCCAGCCTGGCCTGACTTGCCCCAG